TGTAGAGAGGGAGAGAGAGAAAGGAAGAGAAAAAGGGAGAGAGAGAGAAAGAGAGAGGGAAAGATGAAGTAATTGGTTTCAAAGGAAGAGTGAATAGCAAATAGCTTTCCAATTAGATTTTTCAGAATGACGGAATTCTGGTTGTAAAGATGTTGGATAGCGTTGATTTATGATCAGTATGGTTTATGACAAACACAGTTTCGGAGTGATATTTGACAGTATTACCAAATGATTTAAAAGCTAATCGTATTGATCAATATTCGGGAATATTTTTACAAAGGACATTTGAATTACTTGAGCCGTTGAATTTCGAAATGCTAAAATTCTGATTGCTAATACAGGTGTGAAAAATTTATAAGTGTTGATCGTTCATTTTATACTTAGTTGTTAATGAAAGCATGATAGACTATATATGGGATTTTAACTAATAGTGAGATCACTAATGAATAAAACTCAATGTAATCCAATTTTAAAATGAAAATAAGAGTTCAGAGTAGTGTAATGATCATGGTATTACAAAATAAAACATAAATAATAATTGAAAGAATCCTTCTCTTTTCTTTTCTTTCCATTTTTTAATTGTAATAATTTTCAACTTCATTTAAGGCTCATCGGCTAATCATTCATAGATGTTTGTCAGAAGTATCGTTGTAAGGAGAGCTCTAAATAATGCATAAAATTATCAAATAGATATTATCTTTTGATGTTTTTATCAAAGCTAATAAAAGTTCGTCAATTATTTGCTCATTGATTGATCAGATATTTGTTTGTCATCGATAAATAAAGTTTATGCTCGTCTCGATAGAGTAGACGTGTGCTATGTTATTATTGCAAAGTTGAAGATAGTAAGCTTTATCTTTTATAACTCATTAAAAATATGTTTTTAATTTATCGTTTTGCCTTCATTTAGTACAAATTGATGTGATGCAAGGAAAAGAAAATTTAATAATTTTCTAGAATGATGGTTTTGGTTATGGAGATTTTGCAAAAAAACGAATAAAGTAAATAAGGATTTGATATAGCACAATGAAGTTCTATAGTTCAACATTTGTTTTGAAGATTATACGTAATGGAATATTGTACGTATACTATTTACGTCTTCCTAAAATTCTGATGACATATGGAAATGTTATAATATTGTTAAATAGGTAATTTATTTTATTTTAAAATATGTCTTTTATTTGAAATATTGATGTTAATTAATTGTTTTTCACTGCTAATCGTAATTAATATTAAGTTTATTATGCATTTTTGCTAATGTAGCACAGCAGACGGACAAATATTACAAAGAGTTATTTCACATGTAGAATAAGGCATGCTGAAGGCTTCTTTTTTTACAAAATTTGTAATACAGTTTTTGATTTTATGTTTTCTCCGCAAATGATTTCTTCCATAGTCCTTTTGATTCAAGATTTAAGTAAGCTTGAAATGAATATAATTGATCTAATTTTATTTTAAGTTGTAGTTCAGAAAACATCGAAAAAGGAAGAAGTTTGTTTTTTCACTCATTAATGAATTCTTGCGTTATACTATCCCTCTGAAGTTGTTTGTCTTTTGTATACTCTTTTGCTGGAGAAAAAAGTTAAAAGAAGCACTGGAAGGATTCACAGAGAAATAATTATTGATTTAGCAGGACTGTGAGACAGTTAATGATACTTTGTTATCGATTTAGCAGGACTGAGACAGTTAATGATACTTTCCTTTATCTGAAGCATAGATATGCAGATGAAGTAGTAAGTAGTAAAATGTTTATCGATCAAAATGTTCCTAAAATAAGTTTTATCCTTATGGAATATTCATGTCTGATAAATTAAAGAATTGGTGAGGTGAGAAGTGTGATGGAATGTAGGATAAAGTGGATAGGTCGAGAACGTTAAATACTTATGTCACATTCCGATACACTTTTGCATAAGTTCATATGTACCTTACCATCATTGTATCACAAAACATCATCCTCTCCTCTTCACCTTAGCAGATTTTTTTCACTATCAAATTATTTAGAAGCAGATGTGAATGGAATCGGCGGGAAGTCTACCTGTTGATGACATGACAGTGAGGTGACGTCATTGTGACCTAAGCTGTAAACAACATTTGTCTCATACATCTCTTTCGCTTACATATCAAACACACTGATCTGAAGAGAGGAAATAAGAAGCACTGCAATTATTTGTGGAATTTTGAAATTAGGCTCAAAAATTTACTTCAAGAGAGAAGAAGTTAAAATCGGAATAACATGGAGTAGAAATCATATTGTTCAAGAGCGAATTGTTATCTTGTCATTTTGCAATTTCAACCGTCGAATATGCATATTGGGTAGTGGTAGTGATAATGTTTACTGTTGTCCACCGTGAATCTCGAGATCGTCTTGTATTCATATATTTAAAAAATTTCTACATTTAAACATTGTGAGAAATATGGAGGAAGAGAGAGAGAGAAAGAGAGAAAAGAATCAGGAAAGGCATTGAACAATTTTTTGTGTGATGTTGAGGATTTGCTTGTAATGAGAGGTAAAGCGTTATAGTTAGTTAGATGGTCGGACATCAGGTCAAATTTGTCCAGTGGTCATTGCACCACTATTGCACAGCAATACGGTAAGCAAAGTCAGTGCAACTCAGAGAGAATAGAAATAATAATTGTTGCGTCAGCTAACACTTCCTACCCGATGCTTCTGTTCTCTCTTCTGAGCTACCTGAAATTTACTCTCTCTCTCCATCTTGACTGAAATATTGTCCGTTTTCTCTAAAGATCTTTTTTCGTCAGAAGATAATCTGCTGAAAATATATTTTTGTATAGTTTGAATAAGTATCCATTAAATTGATGAATAAAACTTTTTCAATGGTTGTTGTTGTGGCTACTTAAGAAACAGACTTACTTGCCTAAGAAAAACAAACCGAATGAACATAAGCCAACATATTCTAAAAATTAACACATTGACAAGTTAACTTTTGAACTCGTTCAACTTGTGCAATACCTTAAATATTTCAATGCAAAGAACAATTCTTTTCAATAAAAGGAAATTTGCTTTTCCCTCGAACATACCTACCCATCGTTCATTTGTCCCTCATATTGGAGAATATTAGCAATGGATGCCCTCTGCATCTATGTTGTTTACAGGTATTTTTTTCATAATTTACCTACTACCCTCAGGTCAAGTTCACCATCACATCATATTACGTCACGACCTAACCCCGCCACCTCGATAGATCACCTCACCTCTTATCGTTCAGTGCAATGACTTGCAGCGACCCGTGCTCTTAGCTGCTGCCATTTTCCATAAATAACTGCAGTTGCTTCATTTTTGTCCGGTGTATATCCTATTTTCCAAGAGGTTTCGAAGAAAAATCCCGGTTGAGATATTCCGAGCTGCACTTCAGAATATTCAGCTTTTCGACCAACTTTTTCCCAAAAATTTCCACTTCATATAATCAGAGAGCTAATTTTTGGGTAGGAAAAGATGTCACGACGACATATTTCAAGAACAACTCCGAACAAAGAAGAGCGAAGTTCGAGTTCATTTTGTACTCCGGACCCAACTGCTATTTGCTCAACAACTGCATTTGTACCAGTTAGCAACTCTGTTCCATCAACTTTCAACATCCTTAACAACCGTGGTCCTTTTGCATTTATTAATAATACGAGCAATTGCGCATCTAATAATAATGACAATCGAAATTTTTGTTTTCAACCGATCGATTCAATCCATCACTTTTGCAACCAAACGTTTCACCTTACGCCAATATCATTAATAACGATCCTCGACTTCATCCCACCTCAGCAATTTTACCAAATCCGCTTCGGCAACATAATTCAATGAGTATGAATACGAATGGGACAGCATTTGATCGATTCCTACAATCATTTCCAGCACCACAACGATCCAACACGATAAATCCATCATCAATTCCTCCTACTATGATCAGCGTAGCTCCTATCACTCCAACTGCTTCGGCAACCGGACCCACATCATTACTTCCAATTGCTACAGCCAATAATTCAGGACCGTCAACATCATCTTTTATTCCACCACCTTTATTAAGCGATCAGCCGTCGTACAAGTATTTGTTATCATTTGAACAACAGGCCAAAATAGCGCATGAAGCGGCGATGCACTATGCAAATTTGACGGAACATCTAATGGAACACGCGAGAAATGCAGCGGCAGCCGAAAATATGCCACTACCACCGTTACCGCAAGCGGTCTTTTCAATGGTTCAGAAATACGATCAACAGAAGGAATCGATGCAGAATCATCGACAACAACAAAAAACGAAAATGAAAAGAAGGATCATTATCATCATCCAACATATTTAACACCTGGCAACAAGGCTTCATTTTCACACTCTGATACAATTATTAATAGTGATAACTTCGATCAACAGCAATTGTTTAAGCAGAAACGACCTTGCCTATTCAATTGCACACTCTCTGAACCGATGGTGAAAACCCGACATGCAGCAGATAATGTGTCTAATACGGATACTACCCCTTCTGGTTCCGAAAGTGATTCATCAAATAAAACAACAGTTGAAATATTACCTATCCTGTCACCGCATCCGTATTGTGCGGTATCGGCGGAAAATAATTTCGAACAGCAACAAAATGAAATGGAAATGGATGAAAGCAATAAAAACAACACCACTGAAACGGTAGCAATTTATTCACTTTAGAAGTAACAACATTAAAATAGGCGTTATTGTTAATGTTATTGTTGCTGTCATTGTCTTATAATTTAAGAATCATAAGAAAGATTTTTTTTTTTTTTTTCAGGTTAATCAACCAATAATAACACCATTACGAACAATCCAAGAATGTTTTAATAAGACGAATCCAAAATACGGGATAGAAACGGATCATTCATCTGCTGCCGTTCATATACCATTCATTCCATCAGAGAGATTTATTTCAGAAACAACTCTTCTAGTGCATGATAATACATCAAGAATGACAGTGATAATTTAGCGAGTACATCATCACAGTCTCATTTAGATTCCGGAATTTCAATGAGCGCAAATGTGACCGATAAACGGGAGCAAATATCATTTGATAAACCATCTTGGTCCAATTCATTTACTGTAAGCAGTATTCTGGTAGGAAATAACGAAGGAAAAGACGAAATAGATGCGTTAAAGCATATAGCAGAAGCAACAACTATGACACAAAACCAACCGAGAACAGCAAATCTGAAGGGAACAACAAATTTATCGGTACTACCATATACGGTGCCACAACAAAGTACGTTTAATTTTCATATTCATTAATAAAATTACAAGAGAAGAGAAAGCAGATATTTGATATCTCTCGAAAGTTTATCAGTGAAGGTTGTCAAACAGTTGGTATTGATATATATATACATATTATATTAATGGTAAAAAATTATTATTAGTAATAATTTTTTGGTTTTAATTTCAAGAATAGTTTTAGCTATACAAAATTGCATAAATGAAATGGTACAAACAACGGGACCTTCAAATGTTCGTACACCTTTCAAAAGTCTCCCAGGATATGCCATAACAAGCAATGGGTTATTGATCGCATCAGATGGACGAGCAATGCCGCCTGCAATCTACAATTGCTTTGGTATACCAAGGCAACCATTAGTTTCAATGAATCCAAATCAAGAAGAAGACAATAATTTATGCGCAATATGTGGTGATAAAGCTTCAGGGAATCATTACAGTGTACCAAGCTGTGAAGGATGCAAAGTATAAATTTTAAGGCGTTTAAGACATGCCTACAAGCTTATCCTCACTTACTTGAAATTGACGGGGAAATATTCCGGAATGATATAACTGATTGATGCCATCAAATATTTCAGCTCAAAATGATGAAATTTTAGGGTTTCTTCCGAAGAACTATCCAGAAGAAAATAGAATATATATGCTACAAACAAGGCAATTGTATAATAGATCAGAAAAATCGGAATAGATGTCAAAGTTGTCGATTTAAAAAATGCCTTCAGTTAGGCATGCGTCAAGAATCGGTACGTTTGGATCGCAATCGACGACGGAAAAAAGATGAAAACAGGTAAATGTTAATGTCACATACCATAGAACAGATGATATTTTATCACACGACAAATATTTTAGTTGAGAAAATATCTCATAATTTTTAGAGATAAAGAAATGGAGGAGATCGAAGAAATGAAAAAGTTAAAAGCTATTGTTGTTAGTGCCTATCGTGAAGCATTCCCAACGGGGTTAGTCATCGATAACCGAAGCGAAGCTGTAGAAAGGATCCATATGTTTCTGAATAATATCCCGATGATGAACGAAATTAATGAGAAAGATCGGGAAAAAGTCATTGAAAATTGTGTTTATGCAGCGCTGGTAAATTCTCGCTCTTTTCGCTTCTCATGTTCGATAATTTTGAAAATTTCCACTTCTATTTGGAAACTAATTCATTCAATAAATTTTCCAAAACCTATCACTAACAAATTTATATAGACTGATGAGAAGTTTGATATACATATTTTATTTTCTTTTTGTAGACTTTGCGCACTTTTTTCACAACTGAAAACTACGAAGCGATTGTGGGCGTTAAAAGCGAAGCATTAGCTCAATGCTTGAATGGATTGGGATTTGAAGTTAAGGAGGAAGAGATGGCAATTCTGACAGCGTTTTGTGCATTGCAAAATTGCATTGGAATGGTTGATAATGAGAAAATTCAAAATGTAAGATTCTATTTCTTTTTGAAATTTGGCTTATGTAAGATAAATTTCGATTATTGTTTACAGATTGGTGCCAAGTTGTGTAACTGCCTTCGAATTCATTTGACAGGTTTTTGCGAAGCAGTGAACGAAATTATTTGCAAATGCATCATGAGTGTAACGGCGTTGATGTTAATGCAGACTAATACTTAACTAAATATCTAAGCGATCCAAAGTTATTTGGACGAAATATTTTGCTCTATTTTATTACTATTTCAGGCAGTTATTTTACTATTCATATCTTAGATTAATTACATTGCCCTACCCTCCTTGTGATTGAAGTATTGAATTTGAATAAAGCTAATGTACTTACTAATATTTAATCAGTACGGTAGCAAACGTTGAAGTATGATGGAAGGCATCGTTTGTAATTGAAAAATATATATCAATTTGTTCGTAGACAATAATTAAATAATATTAGACTTATTTCAAGTATTAAGTATCTATTTGCTTATTGTATGTGATTGGATGTATGTTTGCGTATTTTAAGTGTTGTCCATAGACAATAATTATAGCATAATATTAGCCTTATTTTAAGTATTAAGTATCAATTTTTAAATGTATTTTAATTTTGACAGAGTTTCTTATTTAATGTAATTTTTAATTTGACATAATCTCTTCCCCATTTACTTCATTTTACTTTTTTTTTTTTTTTTTTTTTGGTCTGTGATAAATGTTGTGATGATTTATTAGCCTTTATTTATAATATTAGAATTATGTAATTTCTATTTGCTTATTCTAATATTTAACATACATAAGGACTGAGAAGGATTAATACAAATTGAAAATCCATGCTATTGTTATTTGAACTGAATTGACAAATGATTTAATTTCATCAATGAAATTATAACGTAGACTGAAAAAGTCTTTTAAAGATAAATAAATTAATGTTAACTTTGAAATAATCGATTGATAGAAAAAAAAAAAAAAAAACGAATTCATTGGAAATGTTTGAAGCAACGGAAGTTCATAACATTTTGCAAAAATGTCGTTGAAGGCCGAATTAAAACAAAAATGTTGCTATTGATGTTTGAAATTGGACAATCTGTACAGTAAGCGATATTATTTGCACTAAATACATTTGACTTGAATATTCTGCACGGCTAATGAGAAATTTATTTTTATGTGAAATAGATGAAAGCCGTTAAATTCCATAAAATACTATTATGCTCATTAATTTACTTAAATTTAATATCCTGCCTTTACTGTGGCATATTACCTTCTCAAAAGCAAATAATTTTGAATTCTTATTCCTATTTTGAATTTTGAATTTTAACGCATTTGACTACTACCTACGAATTATTGCATAAGAGCGATTCCAAGGCACCGTATTCACCGGAATATCTTACAGCGACTCGAATTACTGTTGCTGAATAAGTTGCATATTTTGAATTTAATGAAATAAAAAGAAACACTATCATTTGCTGTATTATTGAATAAAACTACAGAAATCGAATTTTTTCAGAACATAACCAAAATTCGTATGGTTGCTACTGAATTTCATCTTTAAGGTTTGTTAGAGATTTGTTGACTGGACTTGAAATATAAAAAATATCTCTTCGATAGAAATCGATCTCCATGACCTACCTGAGGTGAAAACAATCCAATCGCAAGACTCCACCTACAGGTACCACAGGTGCTGCTCTCATCAACCTTATGTAGTCATAAGATACACTGGAGGTTGTTGTTGAGTTGCAGTTCCTCTTCTATTTATTTCTTCAATGTTTCCTTCACCAAGTTATTTCCTCTCCAGTTGCTTCAGTTGCTTAATAAAAAGTAATTACTATTCGTTAATTTGAAATTATTTCAGAAACACTTTTATTTTAGTACATCTGCGACTTTTCATAACAAAAGATACGGTAATTTGAAATGTCCTTTGATGAAATCATTTAGTATTGTAATTGTGCTTTGGTCATTTTTTATAATTTTCAGAACATAACAAATAACCTCGATTATTTAACATATCTCTCATCTAAAATTTAATAATGTGTTTAAACAACGGACAGATAGAATATACTTTCAGTAGTGAATAATTTTTATTTTTTGTCATCAAAACCACAGAGATGTTTGATCACTAATGTCAAATTTTGTGTTCATTGCAAGCTGCATGTGCGAATGACAACATGTGACTTGGAATAAACATGCATTCATTCATAACACCCATCTTAAATAGCGTTCTCAAATAACGCTAGAAATAGAATCTGTTAACTAGCGGACTGTTTCAGAGAGTCACCGTACTTTCTTGAGGTACGTCTATTGCAGTTATCAATGACCAGTTTCACTGCAGAGAAGCAAATCTTAAGGAGGTAATAATGTTCATTTGAAAATGTGATCTGTTCAGCATAGTTATGTTGTGTTCTAATATGATCTCAGTAATAATGATGCTTGCTTGTTCAAGATTATGTGCACGGTGAAGCAGATTTAGGATAGTATGCTGAAGTGCTTACTGTTTCATTAAACGATAGGCATTGAAAAGAGGTCAAAAGTATTTGAACTAATCGGTTGACAGTGGAAGATTTATTTGTGAGAAGGAAGAGACTGACTGAGAATAGAGGTATATGAATCTAATGTATTGGTCCATGCACTACTTTTAGAGTTCACTGTGGTCGCAACAATCCGGAAATGATTGAGTATTAGATTGATCCATCACTTGTTCTTGATATTCTGAGATTTCTGCTGGCGTGCAAGATGTGCTAGATCAAAAGTTGTTTTTCTTGCTAAACGGAATGGATGAGCGTGTATAGACTGTTAACATCAAACCGATCTTTAAGTTCTTTGATGGGAACCGTAAGCAATTCTGCGAATTCTACTGGGTGCTATTTTTGATGAATTGGTAAAGTATTTTAGGAGAAGAATCTAATAATGATTCACAAGTAGTAATTTCAACTCTTAGTTTCTTTTTTTAGGCTTCGCATCAAAGTGGTAATTGAATTTGCATCGCACAAAGCGGTTGTCTATCTAACATTTTGCACTAAGCATCATAATTCGAATATGACGAATGCTTGCTTCTGTGATGCATTACGATATAGCAGCCAATGAGGATGCAGAATACATTCAGACTGCCTTTATGTTGAAAGATTCTATTTGTGATCGAATTAATTTTTGCTCTGCGCGCAAAACTCTATCAGAAGATGTCCATTGTCGTTGCAGTTTGCAACACTATGTTTGCCTAGCAACATTTGTTCTCCAACTTCAGAGTTCTGTTCTACTCTGTCATTGAAATTAAAGATTATGATTTTGTCATTTACAGAACTGTTTTGAATGATTAGGATTAGTGATTTTTTCCGCGCGATTAGTTTGAAGAGCTCGGGCATATATACTGCAAAGGACAACATGTTGCTTATTGGTAGGGAGATAACTCGATTGGAATAATCTTTTGGCAAATTAACAAATTTGAAGATTACTGAGTTTTTGATCACAAAGCCAACTCATAGATGGAAACGTGCAGTTTTTGACTTACCTAATTGAAAGTTATTTCGGAGTAACATTCTGGATGATTTTGCAAAGTTACGATCTCCATTTATGGGTTTAAAGTCAGAGTTACCTTCCTGGAACGGCTGTCCTGAAGCTAATCGGTTCATCCTGCTTATAGACACACTTTATTTGATCTTCCACTTAACAGCTGTCTGGCTTGAAGGTCTTGCACCATAAGAGCTGTCTAGGCGTCAGCCATAGTTTGAAGAGAATCAATTCATTTCTTATTACACTGAAAAGTTTTATTATCAGCGGATATTTCCATCTGAAAAAGTTTGAGATTTTTTCAGGTTAGCATCAAAAATGAATGATGAAAACGATCAATGTAAGGCCACTTTGTTTAGTAAATCGAATTTTAAAGACGGTGATTCAGTAAACGGTATAAACCGGAAAAAGGTGTGTGAAATGAAACAAATATCTCAAACGCTATATGCACGGGAAGAGAAAAAGAGATATGAAGAGGGCTTACAAAATATCCATTTGATCCCCTTTTGTTATTTTGCCATTTATATTTTCATTAACTTGATGATTGTTCAGACATTCAAATTATAGGATCCTCCCATTCATCACATAACACTTCCTTATTGACCAATGGTCTTCCGTATCAAAAAAAAAGTCTTTGTGAGGTCCACTCCCACAATTTACAACGCTTAGTTCAATTCTCTTTGCAAAAACAACATTTTTGAAAATTGTTTGTTGCTGCTCGGTGTGCACAATAGCTTCTCGTCGATAAAAGTGCCCAAAAAGCCGATCGAATATGTCAGAACAATTTGACTGGGAGGATGATTTTCTTCTATCCCAGCATTTGGATCATTCTGTTTCCTATGGAACATCGAATGCCGCCATCATCAATGATACGAGTAACAGCGGAATGGAGGAATTTCGATTGCCTATTTCATCTGCAACTTATTATGATAACTTATCTTCTGATACAACCCAATCATCATATATTGATATTTCAAATAATCATTTGGAAGATTTTGATCAGATGAGGCCGACAATTACACCGTTGCAACACAGTTCATCAACATTTATTCAGAATTCAACGGATGACTTCGCGCCACTTTCTATTGCCGATAGCAGTTCAAATAGTGCTGCAAATCTCGATGTCATCTTCAATATTCCTACTTCAGTTTCAACGTCATCTGATGTCACAGATACTCATACTTCTACTGCAATGCCACTTATAGATGCACTAATTTTGCCTAATTCGCAGCAAATTCTGTTAAGCAATGACACAATAGGATGCCGAGCAGCAGTAATAGAGAACACAGTGGACAGAACTATTGTGAATCCACTGTTGACATCTTCCAGTGCTTCGGTAGAATATCGATATTTGAAACGACCAAATGATAGTGGAAGTGAATCGTTGGAACATTGCAACGAATTGGATGTAAAACGATCAACAAGGAATGAAATGTTTGAAACGAATTTCAATGAACAACACTTATCATCAAATCCAATGCAACAACAACCACAACCATCGGTTTCATATCCAACAAATCAGATGTCAGAATTTGCACCATATGTTGATGAAATGTCTAACAATATGCACTCAGGTGAAACGTCAACCAATAATGCTCCTTCATATGGCTCCAAATTTCATCTCTGTAATATGATTCAGCCGTTCCCAGTTACCGATTCTCTTGTGACAACATCAGTAAGCTTTTTTTTGTGAGATTAAATAAGTCTAATTGGTTTTGTGTAAGCAGAGAATAGCATAATGCCGTAAATATTTAATGAACAAAACAAATACAATCATTTCAGGAAACCAATCAAGAGGACGAAGGAAAAGTATTTCAAGAACTGAAATCGTATTCAGATCTCAGTTCCTCTGCTGCAACAAGCAGTACTGAGCAACAAATAACATATACTATGCCAGCTGGATTTCATGAACAACAATTATCACGACAATTAGTTTCGAATTTTAGCATTCCCATGAAGAGAAATCATTTAGTGAATAGACGGTATCAAGTTTTACCTGCTACATCTCAGCTTAGTCCATCACTGCATACGAAGAAGGATGATCAGGAAAGCCGCAAAAATCCTTTGATGTATTCAAATGAAGAAAATAGTAATTTATGTGCCGTATGTGGCGATAAAGCTTCGGGGAATCATTACGGTGTATTAAGTTGTGAAGGATGCAAAGTACGCATTGTAATTAATGCGCAGAGATTTTATTCATTGGTTAAAATTGATATAAAGTATTGCAGAATAATAGGCAAGCCAACATTCTGAATGTACTCTTTTATGTCTTCCTAATGTCTAACTATTGCTATTACATATTGTGACAAAATTTCTCTGAAAAATCTGAGGAATAAGCAATAATTGCTTGTTTTTATTAATAATGACTTGAATTGGTTGCGTGATATTTTTAGATAATTCATTTAGGGTTTTTTTCGAAGAAATATCCAGAAAAAAATGATATACACATGCTATAATGGTGGTAATTGTATAGTGAATGTGGAAAACCGAAACAAATGTCAACCTTGTCGACTGAAGAAATGTCTTAGTGTAGGCATGCGTCCATTATCGGTGTGTTTTGATTGCAATTCGATGACGAAAAGATGAAGTATTCCATACTGCGATGTTATCATAAGCCATGTATTAGAACAAAGAATATTTTGTCATTTTACTAACACACAACAAATGTGTTTAATTTATGAAAATTCTTATAGCAATGATTTTTCAGAAAAAAAGATGGAATGGAAGAAATGAAAATGCTGTAAACAATAACTAATGTTATCAGGATGCATTTTTCTACATCACTGATTGTCGATTATCAAGCAAACTAATTGCATTATGGATGAAAAACATTGATCTTGAATAAAAATATTATCATTTTGTTCATATGTGATCGATACTGTAGTAAGGATTATGATATAACATTAAGGGATGGGATATGTGCTGTTTGTAATTAAAAGAAATGAAGCAAAATGTAGCTTGTTCATAAACAACAATGTAATATTTCCGGGATCATTTTTCCTTTTCTGGATTTATAATAGCATGAATAAAAACAATAAATGAGATTTGATTTTTCATTTTTTGTCTACCAAACAGCGACATTATTTCAGAAATTGTTATATTCTTACTAACAAGTCTAATCCAATATACCTCCTACTCTTCATCTTTTTTCAAGAAGTTAATTGTTTTCAATATTTTAAGTACGCATCCGATAGTGATCACAGTGGCATATTCAAAAAAAAAAAAAAAAAAAAAAGAAATGAAGTGATTTATGGAGAAATGGTAAATTCTGCTGAATTTCATCCATTGCTTGAAATGATTTTGTCAAACGCAATAACAACAATTGACTTTTAATTTTTGCATGTAAATTAAAAGATAATGGTGCAATTTTTGCTTATATATTAAGAAGGTTACAGAAAATGCTATTCTGTGCTTATGAATCACTGTCGATATTGAATGATAGCGTAATTTGATTTATTGCGGATATTCGATGGATTATCATCATATCATAGGATTCTTTAATTATTGCTGCTTATTCGTAAAGTAGAAAGATTTGTTCGCTGAGTACATTATTTTCGCTTATGATAGCCACAAAAATTTGAATAAATGAGACAAAAAATTTTTATTCAAAATTATAATAATATTAGATGTAAATTGAATTACTTATGGTTATTAAGTATATCAAACAAGCCAGAATTTTGAACCTACAGAAGGGACTTATTATTATTTTTAATTTAATATTTTCTAATCACTTAGTGCACCTCTATTTACTGAGCACAATGTGAGTGAGATGTGAATGCACTGAATTCTAAAATGTATTTTCTATGATCCAATTTGGTGATCAAATTATCAGCAGTATTCGCATTTTAGAAATTTTATCTAATCAGCCAATAAGCATTATAAATTTAGTCAAGTTTCTAAAAGTAAATAAACCATATTTTACCGATCAATTTTTTTTTTTTTTTGAATGAGGAATTTTGCATCTACTTTTTAGTAAATTATTTCTTTCGTCCAGATTGAAGAAAATAGTTGTTAATTTTAAATTCTGAGAATAAAATGATTATAATCAGGGAAATGTGCTTCTGTTTCATGGAGCTTTCTTCACACCCGAAATCCTTGAACCATACAATGTGTACTTTTGCTTTAATTCAACGTTGTTAAGATTTTTCTATGCTGCATTATTATTCTATCGACAACCATTCAGAGCGATCAATTTACTTAGATTAATTTATGGAGTTATGGAGAAACTTGTGAGATGGAGAAACTTGTGAGTAAAATCTTTGAGCTATTATAAAAAAAAATAATAATCATTGTAAAAAATGACGAATCATAGAAATAATAATTATTATAAAAAAGGACGAGTGATGAGAGAAAGAAGAAATTGATATAAGCAATAATATTCCAGAATTCTCCACTTGACCAAATAGTTCCCTCTAGATCATATTATTTTTTTTTTTTTGGTGTTGTTTCAGCGAGATATGATTTTTTTTTAGACTATGCATTTAATATTTTTGCCCAGTTGCTTGTTCAAAGAATGGTAAACTATGATTTACTTAATTGTAGAAATTTGAAAAGCGTTATGACCTTACTAGTACTAGGATAAAATTTCTAAAGCGCGAAGAAATATTAATAATTTAATCGTTAAACAATTCGTAGCAAAATATCATTTGCATTTACATCTCACTCATTTTATTTCAGAGATGTGAACAGAGATGTATTAAGTAATTGGAAAATATCAAATTTATGAAAAAGAAAAAAACTAAACTCCTATCTTTATTTTCAGACCATTCAAATTGCATTTTACAACAACCTTACGACATTATTTTTAACCGTAATTTGCACTCTGCCAGCATCTTTAATTTATGGAATCACATCCTTTTACACCACCAGCTACAACTTTAACAGCTTTATCCACTTCAGTTCTCGACGTTTCCTTTGAATCTACTACTGTCTATTATTCTGTTGCACCAATTTCATATACTATTGATGTAAGCAGTAGTATCCCATACCGCGATGTTATCACAAGCGAAAACAGTGCACTCAGTCAACAAATCTCCACATTTTCTACTAATGCATGCTCGAATGTAAGCGGAAATGCGGAAGAACGCTACGATGATGCTCCAAGATGCAATCACTTCAGCATATGGATCGCACAATTCCTGCAGTTCGTATCACAAATTCAAGAAGTGAAAACAGTTGACCAATTCATATTTTCTAAAGATATTTTTCTCGCTATTTACAATTTCTATTCATTTTTTTCTTGATTTCGATAAAGTTTTCACTCCTATTAAAGTTTTTCACACTTTACTCCATCGATTTATATTACCTTCCTTCTCTATTTCTTCTGGGAGTTCAATTTTTTTTTTAAATCAAAAAGAAAATGAATCCATTATCCAAATGAATCACTTGCAACTATGTCAACAAGTATTTATCACTCAAAATACCTTCATCATACGGCTTATATTCCATCTTTGAATTTACCAATCATCAGATTTACCAATTATCCCCACAAATATTTGACACTTGCCTTATCTGAGAGTTGGTCAAAACAAAGTGTAAAATTATTCATAACTTTGATACGCTGGAATATATTAGGAAGGAATAAATAATGTTTGAGTGAATCTTTCCTACGAAACTGAAAAAAACCGTATTCGTTGCTAATAGTCCCACAAAATTTATTAACATATATGCAAGCCACGCTGCATGCATTTCCTTTTGCTTTCCGTTGCGAACTATTTCATGGATAAAGCTAGCGACATGCTATTTATGTGAAAAGTTTCCAGTAGAAATTCTAATAAATCTATCGGTCGATCTCAGATCACATAATAACATAGCATAGCAGTAAGGGAGAAGGTATGGACAGATTAAAAGCTGGAATTGATGCTTTTGTAGGTAAGTAATAATAGGTAATCAACTAGATTAACTGGTATCACAACAACATATATGCTTCCAGATATTATTGCAAAAAAGCAGCAACACACAATTAATCGACCAAGATGATGCAGTAAAATAGGAAAAAGAAGGAAAGAAAATGTCTGTTGGTGGGAAAGTTGCAGTAGAAGTGTTAAACATATAATGACTCTAATTTCAGTACGGGGATGTATTCGACGTTTAATTCTTCGGGGATTGTCCCATTCGTAATTTTCAATATTCAATCTGTTCGTCTTCTGGAACGAACTGTTGCATCCTTTATTTTCTTTGACCTAAAAGAAATCAATATTCATATATGTATATATATTTAAATGAACTTGAAATCTCAACTGATGGTATTTGTTAAAAAAGAGATATTATGCAAGAAAATTCGTTTGACTTTGAAGAGGCAGAGAATTTTAATAGATTATCATACTTCGTTTTACTTTTTTCCCAACTGCAAGGGCAGCGTTTAATCGTTGTTGCATACGCTGGAGATTGTAACTGCGTCTGATGTCTGATAGGTTCGGATTTATTAATTCAGCAGGTATTTGCTGCCTGTGAGGCAGGTGTAATCCTTCCATAGGGTTGGCTGAAATGAAAAGATGTCCAGAATTTCGCATTTGGATAAGCAAATTAAAAGACAAATGTTTTAGTTTTTTATTTTTTAAACAAATATTTAAAATTTGATTAGTACCCACGTAATCAAAATTTATTAATTCGGAGGTAAAATCAATCCACATAAACAAACAACAGAAACAAAAATCTGTAACTGAACTAAAATCGGAGCACACGATCACTTCATTCCGGAAATGTTAATTTTTTAGGAATTTGAAACGATTAAAAAAAAAAAGAAATTATTGACGATTATTGATTGCACTAGGACCATTGGATTGCTATTTCTCTTTCTCTTTCTCTCTCTCTCTCTCTCTCTCTCTCTCTCTTTACCTCCTTCCTCTTCTGCTCTTAATCCATTATTTAATCAATTAATTCATTTTTTAGGTTTTCAGACAATTTTTTCCTTCAAGCAATCGGCTCAAACGAGTAACTTCAACGTTTCTTCGCTATCGTTACTTCATAAACATGTGGAAAATAGTTATTTCAATAAAAAAAAAGTAAGATAAACCAACTTCGTTGCAACGATGTCGTTGGTAACTGCTGATCGATCTGAAATTGAAGATATTTTTAATATCAATTTAGCACTGCAACATTGTCCCTAGAAATAATCTTAAAATCGGCCTGAAATCTTCGACTATTATTATTTCAATTTGAAAATTTAAATCGTTATTGATTTTATTGATTTGAAATTTAAATAAAATAAAATTACGCTAACAATAATAACGTTAACGCTTAAGAGTATCAGCTAAATGTATAACAAGTTGATAAAATCCATTGTAATATCTGAGAGCTCAAATGAAATACAAAGAGAAACTTCCAGTGATTGAGGTATTTCTCAGCTCATTTTGGTCGATTAATATCAAATTATTAAATTGAACAATTTTCCTCACCATTTCTTCAGCTAAATTTACCATTAATTTTGCATTAGCGTTCCTGCAGAAATCTTCCTCTATTCGGGATATTTTTGTGGGTAATTTATTGAAATTGGGATCCAGTACAGAACTAGTGCTTCTTGTTGGCTTCACCCATTTGGAAATCGATTGAAAGCGAGATAGTGATACGGGATTTTCTAGATTACCAGCTTGTGATAAATTTGGTGTAATATTTTCTCGTTCTTCAACTGTTTTTAGTGAATTCCATTGCTTTCGGTACTTCAAGTAATTATGTGTCATCAAATCGACCGCATCTGGTAGTGATGGCGGTGGCATATTTAAAGAAGAAGCAATCGCTCTAGCTTCTTCCCAAGCATCTTGTGCTAATCTAGCATAATGTGTTGCTTGATCATGTAACAGTCGAATTTTATGAATAGATGATAAATTCTTCTGAAATTCATCGGTTCCTTGCAAAGATTTTGTAGAAGGCAATGATAACGACTGAGTTTCTGTTTTTTCATGTAAATTAGAAGATAATGGCAACTGCTGTGGCGGAATTTTCTCGTGTTGATTAGAAGGTAGTAGCAATTGCTGTGCCGTAACGTTAGACTGAACAGTAGAGGATGATGGCAAACTTTGTGAAGGAACGTTCACTGGTAGCTTAGAACATGATGGTAACTGTTGTGTTACAACTTGCGTTTGCAGAGAAGATAATGGCAACCGCTGTGCCGCAACGTTTACTTTCATATTAGTAGGGGATAATAACAATTGCTGCGCTGCAGTGTCAATTTGTAAATCTCTACAGATACGATGCAACTGCAACATTTCCGCTGTTGATTCATTGCAAATATCCGATAGAATATCATCGTAGCGTTCTTCCGCATTTCCGCTTACATTCGAGCATGCATTAGTAGAAAATGTGGAGATTTGTTGACTGAGTGCACTGTTTTCGCTTGTGATAACATCGCGGTATGGGATACTACTGCTTACATCAATAGTATATGAAATTGGTGCAACAGAATAATAGACAGTAGTAGATTCAAAGGAAACGTCGAGAACTGAAGTGGATAAAGCTGTTAAAGTTGTAGCTGGTGGTGTAAAAGGATGTGATTCCATAAATTAAAGATGCTGGCAGAGTGCAAATTACGGTTAAAAATAATGTCGTAAGGTTGTTGTAAAATGCAATTTGAATGGTCTGAAAATAAAGATAGGAGTTTAGTTTTTTTCTTTTTCATAAATTTGATATTTTCCAATTACTTAATACATCTCTGTTCACATCTCTGAAATAAAATGAGTGAGATGTAAATGCAAATGATATTTTGCTACGAATTGTTTAACGATTAAATTATTAATATTTCTTCGCGCTTTAGAAATTTTATCCTAGTACTAGTAAGGTCATAACGCTTTTCAAATTTCTACAATTAAGTAAATCATAGTTTACCATTCTTTGAACAAGCAACTGGGCAAAAATATTAAATGCATAGTCTAAAAAAAAATCATATCTCGCTGAAACAACACCAAAAAAAAAAAAATAATATGATCTAGAGGGAACTATTTGGTCAAGTGGAGAATTCTGGAATATTATTGCTTATATCAATTTCTTCTTTCTCTCATCACTCGTCCTTTTTTATAATAATTATTATTTCTATGATTCGTCATTTTTTACAATGATTATTATTTTTTTTTATAATAGCTCAAAGATTTTACTCACAAGTTTCTCCATCTCACAAGTTTCTCCATAACTCCATAAATTAATCTAAGTAAATTGATCGCTCTGAATGGTTGTCGATAGAATAATAATGCAGCATAGAAAAATCTTAACAACGTTGAATTAAAGCAAAAAGTACACATTGTATGGTTCAAGGATTTCGGGTGTGAAGAAAGCTCCATGAAACAGAAGCACATTTCCCTGATTATAATCATTTTATTCTCAGAATTTAAAATTAACAACTATTTTCTTCAATCTGGACGAAAGAAATAATTTACTAAAAAGTAGATGCAAAATTCCTCATTCAAAAAAAAAAAAAAAATTGATCGGTAAAATATGGTTTATTTACTTTTAGAAACTTGACTAAATTTATAATGCTTATTGGCTGATTAGATAAAATTTCTAAAATGCGAATACTGCTGATAATTTGATCACCAAATTGGATCATAGAAAATACATTTTAGAATTCAGTGCATTCACATCTCACTCACATTGTGCTCAGTAAATAGAGGTGCACTAAGTGATTAGAAAATATTAAATTAAAAATAATAATAAGTCCCTTCTGTAGGTTCAAAATTCTGGCTTGTTTGATATACTTAATAACCATAAGTAATTCAATTTACATCTAATATTATTATAATTTTGAATAAAAATTTTTTGTCTCATTTATTCAAATTTTTGTGGCTATCATAAGCGAAAATAATGTACTCAGCGAACAAATCTTTCTACTTTACGAATAAGCAGCAATAATTAAAGAATCCTATGATATGATGATAATCCATCGAATATCCGCAATAAATCAAATTACGCTATCATTCAATATCGACAGTGATTCATAAGCACAGAATAGCATTTTCTGTAACCTTCTTAATATATAAGCAAAAATTGCACCATTATCTTTTAATTTACATGCAAAAATTAAAAGTCAATTGTTGTTATTGCGTTTGACAAAATCATTTCAAGCAATGGATGAAATTCAGCAGAATTTACCATTTCTCCATAAATCACTTCATTTCTTTTTTTTTTTTTTTTTTTTTGAATATGCCACTGTGATCACTATCGGATGCGTACTTAAAATATTGAAAACAATTAACTTCTTGAAAAAAGATGAAGAGTAGGAGGTATATTGGATTAGACTTGTTAGTAAGAATATAACAATTTCTGAAATAATGTCGCTGTTTGGTAGACAAAAAATGAAAAATCAAATCTCATTTATTGTTTTTATTCATGCTATTATAAATCCAGAAAAGGAAAAATGATCCCGGAAATATTACATTGTTGTTTATGAACAAGCTACATTTTGCTTCATTTCTTTTAATTACAAACAGCACATATCCCATCCCTTAATGTTATATCATAATCCTTACTACAGTATCGATCACATATGAACAAAATGATAATATTTTTATTCAAGATCAATGTTTTTCATCCATAATGCAATTAGTTTGCTTGATAATCGACAATCAGTGATGTAGAAAAATGCATCCTGATAACATTAGTTATTGTTTACAGCATTTTCATTTCTTCCATTCCATCAAAAAAAAAAAAAAATCATTGCTATAAGAATTTTCATAAATTAAACACATTTGTTGTGTGTTAGTAAAATGACAAAATATTCTTTGTTCTAATACATGGCTTATGATAACATCGCAGTATGGAATACTTCATCTTTTCGTCATCGAATTGCAATCAAAACACACCGATAATGGACGCATGCCTACACTAAGACATTTCTTCAGTCGACAAGGTTGACATTTGTTTCGGTTTTCCACATTCACTATACAATTACCACCATTATAGCATGTGTATATCATTTTTTTCTGGATATTTCTTCGAAAAAAACCCTAAATGAATTATCTAAAAATATCACGCAACCAATTCAAGTCATTATTAATAAAAACAAGCAATTATTGCTTATTCCTCAGATTTTTCAGAGAAATTTTGTCACAATATGTAATAGCAATAGTTAGACATTAGGAAGACATAAAAGAGTACATTCAGAATGTTGGCTTGCCTATTATTCTGCAATACTTTATATCAATTTTAACCAATGAATAAAATCTCTGCGCATTAATTACAATGCGTACTTTGCATCCTTCACAACTTAATACACCGTAATGATTCCCCGAAGCTTTATCGCCACATACGGCACATAAATTACTATTTTCTTCATTTGAATACATCAAAGGATTTTTGCGGCTTTCCTGATCATCCTTCTTCGTATGCAGTGATGGACTAAGCTGAGATGTAGCAGGTAAAACTTGATACCGTCTATTCACTAAATGATTTCTCTTCATGGGAATGCTAAAATTCGAAACTAATTGTCGTGATAATTGTTGTTCATGAAATCCAGCTGGCATAGTATATGTTATTTGTTGCTCAGTACTGCTTGTTGCAGCAGAGGAACTGAGATCTGAATACGATTTCAGTTCTTGAAATACTTTTCCTTCGTCCTCTTGATTGGTTTCCTGAAATGATTGTATTTGTTTTGTTCATTAAATATTTACGGCATTATGCTATTCTCTGCTTACACAAAACCAATTAGACTTATTTAATCTCACAAAAAAAAGCTTACTGATGTTGTCACAAGAGAATCGGTAACTGGGAACGGCTGAATCATATTACAGAGATGAAATTTGGAGCCATATGAAGGAGCATTATTGGTTGACGTTTCACCTGAGTGCATATTGTTAGACATTTCATCAACATATGGTGCAAATTCTGACATCTGATTTGTTGGATATGAAACCGATGGTTGTGGTTGTTGTTGCATTGGATTTGATGATAAGTGTTGTTCATTGAAATTCGTTTCAAACATTTCATTCCTTGTTGATCGTTTTACATCCAATTCGTTGCAATGTTCCAACGATTCACTTCCACTATCATTTGGTCGTTTCAAATATCGATATTCTACCGAAGCACTGGAAGATGTCAACAGTGGATTCACAATAGTTCTGTCCACTGTGTTCTCTATTACTGCTGCTCGGCATCCTATTGTGTCATTGCTTAACAGAATTTGCTGCGAATTAGGCAAAATTAGTGCATCTATAAGTGGCATTGCAGTAGAAGTATGAGTATCTGTGACATCAGATGACGTTGAAACTGAAGTAGGAATATTGAAGATGACATCGAGATTTGCAGCACTATTTGAACTGCTATCGGCAATAGAAAGTGGCGCGAAGTCATCCGTTGAATTCTGAATAAATGTTGATGAACTGTGTTGCAACGGTGTAATTGTCGGCCTCATCTGATCAAAATCTTCCAAATGATTATTTGAAATATCAATATATGATGATTGGGTTGTATCAGAAGATAAGTTATCATAATAAGTTGCAGATGAAATAGGCAATCGAAATTCCTCCATTCCGCTGTTACTCGTATCATTGATGATGGCGGCATTCGATGTTCCATAGGAAACAGAATGATCCAAATGCTGGGATAGAAGAAAATCATCCTCCCAGTCAAATTGTTCTGACATATTCGATCGGCTTTTTGGGCACTTTTATCGACGAGAAGCTATTGTGCACACCGAGCAGCAACAAACAATTTTCAAAAATGTTGTTTTTGCAAAGAGAATTGAACTAAGCGTTGTAAATTGTGGGAGTGGACCTCACAAAGACTTTTTTTGATACGGAAGACCATTGGTCAATAAGGAAGTGTTATGTGATGAATGGGAGGATCCTATAATTTGAATGTCTGAACAATCATCAAGTTAATGAAAATATAAATGGCAAAATAACAAAAGGGGATCAAATGGATATTTTGTAAGCCCTCTTCATATCTCTTTTTCTCTTCCCGTGCATATAGCGTTTGAGATATTTGTTTCATTTCACACACCTTTTTCCGGTTTATACCGTTTACTGAATCACCGTCTTTAAAATTCGATTTACTAAACAAAGTGGCCTTACATTGATCGTTTTCATCATTCATTTTTGATGCTAACCTGAAAAATCTCAAACTTTTTCAGATGGAAATATCCGCTGATAATAAAACTTTTCAGTGTAATAAGAAATGAATTGATTCTCTTCAAACTATGGCTGACGCCTAGACAGCTCTTATGGTGCAAGACCTTCAAGCCAGACAGCTGTTAAGTGGAAGATCAAATAAAGTGTGTCTATAAGCAGGATGAACCGATTAGCTTCAGGACAGCCGTTCCAGGAAGGTAACTCTGACTTTAAACCCATAAATGGAGATCGTAACTTTGCAAAATCATCCAGAATGTTACTCCGAAATAACTTTCAATTAGGTAAGTCAAAAACTGCACGTTTCCATCTATGAGTTGGCTTTGTGATCAAAAACTCAGTAATCTTCAAATTTGTTAATTTGCCAAAAGATTATTCCAATCGAGTTATCTCCCTACCAATAAGCAACATGTTGTCCTTTGCAGTATATATGCCCGAGCTCTTCAAACTAAAAAAAATCACTAATCCTAATCATTCAAAACAGTTCTGTAAATGACAAAATCATAATCTTTAATTTCAATGACAGAGTAGAACAGAACTCTGAAGTTGGAGAACAAATGTTGCTAGGCAAACATAGTGTTGCAAACTGCAACGACAATGGACATCTTCTGATAGAGTTTTGCGCGCAGAGCAAAAATTAATTCGATCACAAATAGAATCTTTCAACATAAAGGCAGTCTGAATGTATTCTGCATCCTCATTGGCTGCTATATCGTAATGCATCACAGAAGCAAGCATTCGTCATATTCGAATTATGATGCTTAGTGCAAAATGTTAGATAGACAACCGCTTTGTGCGATGCAAATTCAATTACCACTTTGATGCGAAGCCTAAAAAAAGAAACTAAGAGTTGAAATTACTACTTGTGAATCATTATTAGATTCTTCTCCTAAAATACTTTACCAATTCATCAAAAATAGCACCCAGTAGAATTCGCAGAATTGCTTACGGTTCCCATCAAAGAACTTAAAGATCGGTTTGATGTTAACAGTCTATACACGCTCATCCATTCCGTTTAGCAAGAAAAACAACTTTTGATCTAGCACATCTTGCACGCCAGCAGAAATCTCAGAATATCAAGAACAAGTGATGGATCAATCTAATACTCAATCATTTCCGGATTGTTGCGACCACAGTGAACTCTAAAAGTAGTGCATGGACCAATACATTAGATTCATATACCTCTATTCTCAGTCAGTCTCTTCCTTCTCACAAATAAATCTTCCACTGTCAACCGATTAGTTCAAATACTTTTGACCTCTTTTCAATGCCTATCGTTTAATGAAACAGTAAGCACTTCAGCATACTATCCTAAATCTGCTTCACCGTGCACATAATCTTGAACAAGCAAGCATCATTATTACTGAGATCATATTAGAACACAACATAACTATGCTGAACAGATCACATTTTCAAATGAACATTATTACCTCCTTAAGATTTGCTTCTCTGCAGTGAAACTGGTCATTGATAACTGCAATAGACGTACCTCAAGAAAGTACGGTGACTCTCTGAAACAGTCCGCTAGTTAACAGATTCTATTTCTAGCGTTATTTGAGAACGCTATTTAAGATGGGTGTTATGAATGAATGCATGTTTATTCCAAGTCACATGTTGTCATTCGCACATGCAGCTTGCAATGAACACAAAATTTGACATTAGTGATCAAACATCTCTGTGGTTTTGATGACAAAAAATAAAAATTATTCACTACTGAAAGTATATTCTATCTGTCCGTTGTTTAAACACATTATTAAATTTTAGATGAGAGATATGTTAAATAATCGAGGTTATTTGTTATGTTCTGAAAATTATAAAAAATGACCAAAGCACAATTACAATACTAAATGATTTCATCAAAGGACATTTCAAATTACCGTATCTTTTGTTATGAAAAGTCGCAGATGTACTAAAATAAAAGTGTTTCTGAAATAATTTCAAATTAACGAATAGTAATTACTTTTTATTAAGCAACTGAAGCAACTGGAGAGGAAATAACTTGGTGAAGGAAACATTGAAGAAATAAATAGAAGAGGAACTGCAACTCAACAACAACCTCCAGTGTATCTTATGACTACATAAGGTTGATGAGAGCAGCACCTGTGGTACCTGTAGGTGGAGTCTTGCGATTGGATTGTTTTCACCTCAGGTAGGTCATGGAGATCGATTTCTATCGAAGAGATATTTTTTATATTTCAAGTCCAGTCAACAAATCTCTAACAAACCTTAAAGATGAAATTCAGTAGCAACCATACGAATTTTGGTTATGTTCTGAAAAAATTCGATTTCTGTAGTTTTATTCAATAATACAGCAAATGATAGTGTTTCTTTTTATTTCATTAAATTCAAAATATGCAACTTATTCAGCAACAGTAATTCGAGTCGCTGTAAGATATTCCGGTGAATACGGTGCCTTGGAATCGCTCTTATGCAATAATTCGTAGGTAGTAGTCAAATGCGTTAAAATTCAAAATTCAAAATAGGAATAAGAATTCAAAATTATTTGCTTTTGAGAAGGTAATATGCCACAGTAAAGGCAGGATATTAAATTTAAGTAAATTAATGAGCATAATAGTATTTTATGGAATTTAACGGCTTTCATCTATTTCACATAAAAATAAATTTCTCATTAGCCGTGCAGAATATTCAAGTCAAATGTATTTAGTGCAAATAATATCGCTTACTGTACAGATTGTCCAATTTCAAACATCAATAGCAACATTTTTGTTTTAATTCGGCCTTCAACGACATTTTTGCAAAATGTTATGAACTTCCGTTGCTTCAAACATTTCCAATGAATTCGTTTTTTTTTTTTAACTATCAATCGATTATTTCAAAGTTAACATTAATTTATTTATCTTTAAAAGACTTTTTCAGTCTACGTTATAATTTCATTGATGAAATTAAATCATTTGTCAATTCAGTTCAAATAACAATAGCATGGATTTTCAATTTGTATTAATCCTTCTCAGTCCTTATGTATGTTAAATATTAGAATAAGCAAATAGAAATTACATAATTCTAATATTATAAATAAAGGCTAATAAATCATCACAACATTTATCACAGACCAAAAAAAAAAAAAAAAAAAAAGTAAAATGAAGTAAATGGGGAAGAGATTATGTCAAATTAAAAATTACATTAAATAAGAAACTCTGTCAAAATTAAAATACATTTAAAAATTGATACTTAATACTTAAAATAAGGCTAATATTATGCTATAATTATTGTCTATGGACAACACTTAAAATACGCAAACATACACCCAATCACATACAATAAGCAAATAGATACTTAATACTTGAAATAAGTCTAATATTATTTAATTATTGTCTACGAACAAATTGATATATATTTTTCAATTACAAACGATGCCTTCCATCATACTTCAACGTTTGCTACCGTACTGATTAAATATTAGTAAGTACATTAGCTTTATTCAAATTCAATACTTCAATCACAAGGAGGGTAGGGCAATGTAATTAATCTAAGATATGAATAGTAAAATAACTGCCTGAAATAGTAATAAAATAGAGCAAAATATTTCGTCCAAATAACTTTGGATCGCTTAGATATTTAGTTAAGTATTAGTCTGCATTAACATCAACGCCGTTACACTCATGATGCATTTGCAAATAATTTCGTTCACTGCTTCGCAAAAACCTGTCAAATGAATTCGAAGGCAGTTACACAACTTGGCACCAATCTGTAAACAATAATCGAAATTTATCTTACACAAGCCAAATTTCAAAAAGAAATAGAATCTTACATTTTGAATTTTCTCATTATCAACCATTCCAATGCAATTTTGCAATGCACAAAACGCTGTCAGAATTGCCATCTCTTCCTCCTTAACTTCAAATCCCAATCCATTCAAGCATTGAGCTAATGCTTCGCTTTTAACGCCCACAATCGCTTCGTAGTTTTCAGTTGTGAAAAAGTGCGCAAAGTCTACAAAAAGAAAATAAAATATGTATATCAAACTTCTCATCAGTCTATATAAATTTGTTAGTGATAGGTTTTGGAAAATTTATTGAATGAATTAGTTTCCAAATAGAAGTGGAAATTTTCAAAATTATCGAACATGAGAAGCGAAAAGAGCGAGAATTTACCAGCGCTGCATAAACACAATTTTCAATGACTTTTTCCCGATCTTTCTCATTAATTTCGTTCATCATCGGGATATTATTCAGAAACATATGGATCCTTTCTACAGCTTCGCTTCGGTTATCGATGACTAACCCCGTTGGGAATGCTTCACGATAGGCACTAACAACAATAGCTTTTAACTTTTTCATTTCTTCGATCTCCTCCATTTCTTTATCTCTAAAAATTATGAGATATTTTCTCAACTAAAATATTTGTCGTGTGATAAAATATCATCTGTTCTATGGTATGTGACATTAACATTTACCTGTTTTCATCTTTTTTCCGTCGTCGATTGCGATCCAAACGTACCGATTCTTGACGCATGCCTAACTGAAGGCATTTTTTAAATCGACAACTTTGACATCTATTCCGATTTTTCTGATCTATTATACAATTGCCTTGTTTGTAGCATATATATTCTATTTTCTTCTGGATAGTTCTTCGGAAGAAACCCTAAAATTTCATCATTTTGAGCTGAAATATTTGATGGCATCAATCAGTTATATCATTCCGGAATATTTCCCCGTCAATTTCAAGTAAGTGAGGATAAGCTTGTAGGCATGTCTTAAACGCCTTAAAATTTATACTTTGCATCCTTCACAGCTTGGTACACTGTAATGATTCCCTGAAGCTTTATCACCACATATTGCGCATAAATTATTGTCTTCTTCTTGATTTGGATTCATTGAAACTAATGGTTGCCTTGGTATACCAAAGCAATTGTAGATTGCAGGCGGCATTGCTCGTCCATCTGATGCGATCAATAACCCATTGCTTGTTATGGCATATCCTGGGAGACTTTTGAAAGGTGTACGAACATTTGAAGGTCCCGTTGTTTGTACCATTTCATTTATGCAATTTTGTATAGCTAAAACTATTCTTGAAATTAAAACCAAAAAATTATTACTAATAATAATTTTTTACCATTAATATAATATGTATATATATATCAATACCAACTGTTTGACAACCTTCACTGATAAACTTTCGAGAGATATCAAATATCTGCTTTCTCTTCTCTTGTAATTTTATTAATGAATATGAAAATTAAACGTACTTTGTTGTGGCACCGTATATGGTAGTACCGATAAATTTGTTGTTCCCTTCAGATTTGCTGTTCTCGGTTGGTTTTGTGTCATAGTTGTTGCTTCTGCTATATGCTTTAACGCATCTATTTCGTCTTTTCCTTCGTTATTTCCTACCAGAATACTGCTTACAGTAAATGAATTGGACCAAGATGGTTTATCAAATGATATTTGCTCCCGTTTATCGGTCACATTTGCGCTCATTGAAATTCCGGAATCTAAATGAGACTGTGATGATGTACTCGCTAAATTATCACTGTCATTCTTTGATGTATTATCATGCACTAGAAGAGTTGTTTCTGAAATAAATCTCTCTGATGGAATGAATGGTATATGAACGGCAGCAGATGAATGATCCGTTTCTATCCCGTATTTTGGATTCGTCTTATTAAAACATTCTTGGATTGTTCGTAATGGTGTTATTATTGGTTGATTAACCTGAAAAAAAAAAAAAAAATCTTTCTTATGATTCTTAAATTATAAGACAATGACAGCAACAATAACATTAACAATAACGCCTATTTTAATGTTGTTACTTCTAAAGTGAATAAATTGCTACCGTTTCAGTGGTGTTGTTTTTATTGCTTTCATCCATTTCCATTTCATTTTGTTGCTGTTCGAAATTATTTTCCGCCGATACCGCACAATACGGATGCGGTGACAGGATAGGTAATATTTCAACTGTTGTTTTATTTGATGAATCACTTTCGGAACCAGAAGGGGTAGTATCCGTATTAGACACATTATCTGCTGCATGTCGGGTTTTCACCATCGGTTCAGAGAGTGTGCAATTGAATAGGCAAGGTCGTTTCTGCTTAAACAATTGCTGTTGATCGAAGTTATCACTATTAATAATTGTATCAGAGTGTGAAAATGAAGCCTTGTTGCCAGGTGTTAAATATGTTGGATGATGATAATGATCCTTCTTTTCATTTTCGTTTTTTTGTTGTTGTCGATGATTCTGCATCGATTCCTTCTGTTGATCGTATTTCTGAACCATTGAAAAGACCGCTTGCGGTAACGGTGGTAGTGGCATATTTTCGGCTGCCGCTGCATTTCTCGCGTGTTCCATTAGATGTTCCGTCAAATTTGCATAGTGCATCGCCGCTTCATGCGCTATTTTGGCCTGTTGTTCAAATGATAGCAAATACTTGTACGACGGCTGATCGCTTAATAAAGGTGGTGGAATAAAAGATGATGTTGACGGTCCTGAATTATTGGCTGTAGCAATTGGAAGTAATGATGTGGGTCCGGTTGCCGAAGCAGTTGGAGTGATAGGAGCTACGCTGATCATAGTAGGAGGAATTGATGATGGATTTATCGTGTTGGATCGTTGTGGTGCTGGAAATGATTGTAGGAATCGATCAAATGCTGTCCCATTCGTATTCATACTCATTGAGTTATGTTGCCGAAGCGGATTTGGTAAAATTGCTGAGGTGGGATGAAGTCGAGGATCGTTATTAATGATATTGGCGTAAGGTGAAACGTTTGGTTGCAAAAGTGATGGATTGAATCGATCGGTTGAAAACAAAAAATTTCGATTGTCATTATTATTAGATGCGCAATTGCTCGTATTATTAATAAATGCAAAAGGACCACGGTTGTTAAGGATGTTGAAAGTTGATGGAACAGAGTTGCTAACTGGTACAAATGCAGTTGTTGAGCAAATAGCAGTTGGGTCCGGAGTACAAAATGAACTCGAACTTCGCTCTTCTTTGTTCGGAGTTGTTCTTGAAATATGTCGTCGTGACATCTTTTCCTACCCAAAAATTAGCTCTCTGATTATATGAAGTGGAAATTTTTGGGAAAAAGTTGGTCGAAAAGCTGAATATTCTGAAGTGCAGCTCGGAATATCTCAACCGGGATTTTTCTTCGAAACCTCTTGGAAAATAGGATATACACCGGACAAAAATGAAGCAACTGCAGTTATTTATGGAAAATGGCAGCAGCTAAGAGCACGGGTCGCTGCAAGTCATTGCACTGAACGATAAGAGGTGAGGTGATCTATCGAGGTGGCGGGGTTAGGTCGTGACGTAATATGATGTGATGGTGAACTTGACCTGAGGGTAGTAGGTAAATTATGAAAAAAATACCTGTAAACAACATAGATGCAGAGGGCATCCATTGCTAATATTCTCCAATATGAGGGATAAATGAACGATGGGTAGATATGTTCGAGGGAAAAGCAAATTTCCTTTTATTGAAAAGAATTATTCTTTGCATTGAAATATTTAAGGTATTGCACAAGTTGAACGAGTTCAAAAGTTAACTTGTCAATGTGTTAATTTTTAGAATATGTTGGCTTATGTTCATTCGGTTTGTTTTTCTTAGGCAAGTAAGTCTGTTTCTTAAGTAGCCACAACAACAACCATTGAAAAAGTTTTATTCATCAATTTAATGGATACTTATTCAAACTATACAAAAATATATTTTCAGCAGATTATCTTCTAACGAAAAAAGATCTTTAGAGAAAACGGACAATATTTCAGTCAAGATGGAGAGAGAGGGAGAGAGAGAGTAAATTTCAGGTAGCTCAGAAGAGAGAACAGAAGCATCGGGTAGGAAGTGTTAGCTGACGCAACAATTATTATTTCTATTCTCTCTGAGTTGCACTGACTTTGCTTACCGTATTGCTGTGCAATAGTGGTGCAATGACCACTGGACAAATTTGACCTGATGTCCGACCATCTAACTAACTATAACGCCTTACCTCTCATTACAAGCAAATCCTCAACATCACACAAAAAATTGTTCAATGCCTTTCCTGATTCTTTTCTCTCTTTCTCTCTCCCTCTTCCTCCATATTTCTCACAATATTTAAATGTAGAAATTTTTTAAATATATGAATACAAGACGATCTCGAGATTCACGGTGGACAATAATAGTAAACATTATCACTACCACTACCCAATATGCATATTCGACGGTTGAAATTGCAAAATGACAAGGTAACAATTCGCTCTTGAACAATATGATTTCTACTCCATGTTATTCCGATTTTAACTTCTTCTCTCTTGAAGTAAATTTTTGAGCCTAATTTCAAAATTCCACAAATAATTGCAGTGCTTCTTATTTCCTCTCTTCAGATCAGTGTGTTTGATATGTAAGCGAAAGAGATGTATGAGACAAATGTTGTTTACAGCTTAGGTCACAATGACGTCACCTCACTGTCATGTCATCAACAGGTAGACTTCCCGCCGATTCCATTCACATCTGCTTCTAAATAATTTGATAGTGAAAAAAATCTGCTAAGGTGAAGAGGAGAGGATGATGTTTTGTGATACAATGATGGTAAGGTACATATGAACTTATGCAAAAGTGTATCGGAATGTGACATAAGTATTTAACGTTCTCGACCTATCCACTTTATCCTACATTCCATCACACTTCTCACCTCACCAATTCTTTAATTTATCAGACATGAATATTCCATAAGGATAAAACTTATTTTAGGAACATTTTGATCGATAAACATTTTACTACTTACTACTTCATCTGCATATCTATGCTTCAGATAAAGGAAAGTATCATTAACTGTCTCAGTCCTGCTAAATCGATAACAAAGTATCATTAACTGTCTCACAGTCCTGCTAAATCAATAATTATTTCTCTGTGAATCCTTCCAGTACTTCTTTTAACTTTTTTCTCCAGCAAAAGAGTATACAAAAGACAAACAACTTCAGAGGGATAGTATAACGCAAGAATTCATTAATGAGTGAAAAAACAAACTTCTTCCTTTTTCGATGTTTTCTGAACTACAACTTAAAATATTAACTGTCTCAGTCCTGCTAAATCGATAACAAAGTCTATGCTTCAGATAAAGGAAAGTATCATTAACTGTCTCACAGTCCTGCTAAATCAATAATCATTTCTCTGTGAATCGCCTGATCCTTCCAGTGCTTCTCTTAACTTTTATACAAAAGACAAATAACTTCAAAGGAATTGGAAGTATAAAACAAAAACAAACTGTTTCCTTTTTCGGCACTACACAAGTATTAATTTATACTGGCAACGCATCGATAATTTCGTAGAGGTTTTACTTACAAAAAACGGAAGAATAAACTAGAATTTGAATGATCAAAATTGAATAAGCGTGCGACGGTAAGCGAATTTGAAGTTTGCTGATACCCGGCTCATTCATTGGTTGTAAAACAATGCAAGCATTGTAACAAGGCACATTTTATGAGTAAAAGAACTGACAAACAACAAAGAAGAACAAAGAACTGATAACCTTTCAAATAACCAAATCCAAAATCAGCCGTCAAATTGGAAAACCAACAATTCAGTTGAGGGCAACACATATTTTTTGTTAACAAACTGTAACTGGCAACGTATCGCTAAAAAAATCACTAAACGATGCAAATAAGCTCAGCTAGAATTTGAAGATGAGTATTGGATGGAATCCTTATTTACGAAGACATAAAACTGAAAAATTTATCTAAGGAATTTTTAAAATACGAAAATCTTTAAACTTATTAATCTATGCAAATTTATTTCTAAATATTACCAGTTTTCCCGATATAAATAACATTTAGACGACCATCAATACTTACTCCAATTATGCCAAATGTTACATTTATTCCAACCATTACTCAACATAACTACGAATTACTAATGTCTTAAATCTGTCATCGTACGCGTTTAGCATATACACCTCCCTAGAAGCCCTTGAATCCAATTCACAATGTCCAATCCACGAGAAAACGACACAGCAAACACCACCTCGTAAACACTCGTCTCAGCCCTATCAAGTAACATCACGCGGTGGGTCAGCCGGTCCAGCGCACATTCCGTCGTACGTTATGCCACTATGGCAAAATCCGGATCATCATACCCACACTACGAACTACGAAGGATCGTCGAGCTTCGACTCATCTTCTTTCATTTCCTTCAACTATGTTTCTTGCATACAGCTGTGAGTGAGACATGCAAGAGAGCAAAAAACAAGAGAGCAAAAACAGACACACATACACACATTCTCTCTCTCCTGCGCTTTCGTTATGTCATGCAACGTCACCAATCTAAGCGATACTCGAAGGTCAAAAATCATGGATAACACTGGTAATAAAGATATATGAGTAGGTTCAAGGAGATCGACACTAGGATCAGTTATGAACTATTGTTATGCTTTGAACTTTGACCTTGCCCGAATTTACACTGTTTTGTTGCACTTCTATTTGGGCAGGAAATAGCATTAGGTCATCATCGGTAGATGAGTAACAACTTGCATAAACAGACGGTAAAATTCTTGCATGAAGTGACATATGAAGAGAAATTTCGCTTAAATTTGCAGTATCACGGAAATTTCCTAATTAAAAACAATCCCTTTCAATGTAACTTTTTATTTTCAAAAACAATATTTACAGGGGAAATAGCAATAATGTAAACGAAAAGCGCAAAGAATTGACGGAAATTTCGCCAATTCAGAGCGGGTAAAGTATTGCAGATACTGAAATTTGAACTACAATGGCCTAAGCGGTGAAAAATACCTGATATCATAACTCACCTAAAAATTACTAACAGTCAAATTGGCCAAATTTTATGGCAAGCAAATAAAACCACATGACATATTGAAGATGCGCGGAATTGTTTCTCGGCCAAATAACAATTCGGAATCAAATCAGAAGTTGACTTCCAATCTCTAATTCCAAGTAAAAAGCACAGAAGGATATGATAAGGCGAGTATTAGTATTGAAATATAAAACTGAAGTTCAAAACATCGAAAAAATCCTTACTGGAGATTTGACGTCAACTATTTACTACGGCTCGAAATACCGGTGATAAGTTTAATGTAACTCCAATTATTTGATTCAGTAAACAAAAGCATAACAATTCATTAGCCATACCGATTCGATATTTCCTACTTTTTCGGTGTCTTATATATCGGTGGAAGATTAAACCCTTTTAAGCGTCTTCTTGTTTCTTTGTCGGCCGATCTCAATGGCGACGAAGTTTTTGGACCAATCTGGAAATTTCTGTTCTTTGAAACATCTTCTAATTTAATTTGAATAAAAAGGGAAATATCTGTCTTGTTGCCTGCAAACCCCTGGAAGTAATGAGATCGAACAGTTACACATTCCAAACCGGCTGAGCAGAACATTAAAAAAAATTTTTAAAAAATTGAAAAGTAAGAAAAGAAATATTACCGTTGGTGGCCGTACGGGTGTGATCACCGAGTGAAGGCTTGCTGTACTTGCTGAGACAGATTTCATGTGTGATAATAGTGTGTCTGGAGCCTAAATAAATAAAAGAAATTATGAATATATCCTAAAATGATAATATGGCTTCGTCACAGTAACTATAGGAAAAAAAAAGAGGAAATGCATATTATTCATATATTTTTACGGAAAATATTGAACAAAATCAAAAAGTGAATGTACTAAAAAAAAAAAAAGAATATACTAAACTAAACAAACCTTTGATGTTGTTTGATCAAATCGTGTAAGTGGCTTTACTTTCGCTACTTTAGCTGAAGAGCAAGGAGTAACAAAGGTTGGCGGAGCACCACGCTTCTTTGGAGTAACTATATTTGATATATTCGATACGCTGCCCGTGAATACCTCCACTTGTTTCTATAACATGAAATGATATTTTGTATTGTAATTACAGATACAAAGAAGAGACAGACGAGTTTCAAATACTCATTAATTAAATTTATCAATTAAATTAGTCACTGGTTGATAATTCAAAAACTATCTTTTTGTAAAGCAACTAAACTAAGATTAAAACAATTTTTTCCTAACACAAACATTC